TAAGTAGATTATTAATTATTTTTTCAATTTTATTCTTTTACAATTTTTGATGAATAAAAAGTTATATTAAAGAGAAAATGGTTAAAAAAATGGTCCTGTGCATTTGTGTTTGTACTTTTTTTTATTATTAATAAAACTGACTTGTTCGACTGAAAAAAGATGATACATTTAACAAGGAAGAATTAAAAAAAATTTAGAAAAATCAGTAATTTAATTATTTTTTCTAATTTTGGGTGGTGTAGACAGAAGTGATTCATAAAATTGGATCCTACAATAAGTGATAACATTAAAGTCTATGGCTTATTACTACAAGTTTGAGCGGATAAGTGAAAGCCTCAGCGCGGGAGATCAAAATCACAACTTGTTGACCTAATGGCGTCGCGTGTATTATTATGATTATCCCAACAACTACGGAATTACGGCAATATTTTAATCATTCCATCCAATGAAGATCGGCGGATCAGAAGATGGCGTGATCATTTTGAAATACGCATGAGCGTGAGGGATATAGTATATAGATACGTATACCAATCAAAGCAGCAAGAATCTAGAGCGACGACGAGTACAAAGCCGGAAATGGCCATGCCTTACCTCTTCTTCCTTCCAATCATCTCCTTTTACTTCATCCTCCAATCACATCTCGCCACGTCACTCGTCCCGAACCCAATCCCCATCACGGTTTCCGTCACGGACTTCGGAGCCGTTGGAAACGGGCGCCACTACGACACGCGAGCCATCCAATCGGCGATCGACTCCTGTCCGGAGGGCGGTCCCTGCCAGGTGAAGTTCCCGGCGCCGGGGGAGTACCTGACGGCGACGGTGTATCTGAAATCGGGAGTGGTGCTGAACGTGGAGGGCGGAGCGAGGATCCTGGCGGGAACGAGGCAGAGGGACTATCCTAGGGATCCGTCGCGATGGTACGCGGTGATGGCGGAGAACGCGACGGGGGTGGGGATCGGCGGCGGGGGAGTGGTGGACGGGCAGGCGATGAAGTACGTGGTGAGGAAGAACGTGAGGAAGAACGTGATGGTGAGTTGGAATAGGACGGGGGACTGCTTAGGGGATGAATGCAGGCCCAGGCTTATTGGGTTCTTAGGCTGCACCAATGTCCGTGTCTCCAATATCACCCTCCACGAGCCTGCTTACTGGTGGTCAGTGTTTTTTTTTTTTTTTTTTTCCTGTTTTTGCTTGGTGATATTGTTGGAATAATGTTTATATTTAATGTCTCACCGTGCACTAAACACTAAACATGATTGCGTCTAATGCGTCATGCATGTAAACAATTAAAAACTTGTTGGAATTTTAAAACTTCAAATATTTGTTATGAGATAATATAACTTTTAATCTCTCAAGTTTTTATTGATTTAATTCCTTAATTTTATTTTTTATTAATTTAGTCTTTTAAATTTATTTTGGTTACCGATTCAGTCCTTTTTTTTTTTGTTACTGTCCTTATTGTTTAAAAATAAAATTACACTTTTTGTCCCAAAAAAAGAGAGGAAGTTATACTATAGATTACAGAACATTTTTTACAACTAGATAAATCAATAAAAAGAAGTATAATTATTTAAGTAAAAAAATAATTATAATTTAAAAAAAAAGATAACAAAATATAGTGTAAAAGATTAGATTGAAAAACATTAAACTAATTTGAGAGTTAATTTGTTCTCATTTAAATTTAACTGCATATATAAGTCATTAATATACTTTACACAAAATATTTTGAAAATCAATTTATTTTTTAAAATTTAAAGAACTTATATGATAATTTAAGAAAATATAAGGAAGTAAATTAATTTAAGAAAATATAAGGAAGTAAATTGATAAAAATTAAACTTAAAAAGAAAAATTACTAATTAAAACAAATTTAAGAAACTAAAAATTTTATTATCCTTTTTTAAAACACTTATAATTGAGTTATGGATATATAGATTTGACTTGTCCACAACTCAATTATAAAGTTTGACATGGTACAAGTTAATCCCTCGTGTTTTAGCTATTTAATCTATCACTCCCTTTGGCCTATACCTTATGACTAGATTGCAAATTAGTCCTTAATGTGTAGGGACCAACAGATTAATCCACTGAAACAGTTGGAATCATGTGTTAAATTTTAAAGAATGGGTTGTAATTAAGTTAAAATCACCGTGAACCAAGCTAAATAATTAGTTTTTTATTTTTTAAAATTTTAAATTTATGCAGATTTTTTTTCTTTAATTAGTTCGTTTTTTACTTAAACTTTTATTTCTTATGTGAAAGTAATTTCTTTAGACTTAGGGATATCAGATATCGATATGGATAGATTTCTTTCATAAATCTTAAATTCTGTAAAAATAAACTCATTATATTATGTTTTAGAGAAATTGGATGACGTGATGTGCTAAGTCTACTTAAAAATTTTTCTTATATTTTATTAATGAAATAATGGATGAATTATGTATGAGTATGGAGAGACTTTGCATGAATTTAATAATCTAAAGAGGTTAAAGTTACGAGTATGGAGAGACTTTGCATGAATTTCAAAGCATTTTAGTCGTTGTGTTCTTGTGAAAACAATCACAGTTACACACGCTACAATATTTCCCTATCTTTCTCTTGTAGCTATGCTATTATTATTTTGACCTTTTGACTTTGTCTATCCTTTTTCTTCTGATAATATAAGTTGATCTTTTTCTTAAAAAAAAAAAGTTATTTGAAGCTCACAGATAATAGATTAGATGATCTCAGTTTAGTGGGGACATTTATGTTTATATATAGCAAATTAAACGAATTGTATAAAACAATTTCGTCGTGATTTCTGATTTGAGTTACCTGCACGCAAAATTGAAGTCACTAAGTCAGTCTTCCAAGTTCAGAACATTATTTTTGCCTTTTATCCAATTTATTTATTTTAATTTTATTTGGGTTTGGAAAAAAAAAAAATCTAGCGTGAGTTCATCATTTAGGAAAAAAAAAATCATTCAAACACGTCTTATTCACAATCTTCTTGTGAGTTTGACATTATAAATCGATCATATTCTATGTAGCAAAGAGATTTAAAGTGTTTATATTTTATTTGAGTAGTTTAAATTTGGAAGTTTTTTGAAGTATCAATCATTATTTCTTAAAGTTACTTTTTTTTTTTTGGATGTTTATACTCAAATTTAAAATACTGCATTCTGTTTTCATTTAAAAGATTTTATTCCATATCCAATATAGATGATTTACGTGTTTGGAAAAAGTCAATCTTTTGTTGATTTTTGGCCAAGCTTAGCGAAAATTTGATTTGCATAACAATTACAATAAAATTTAGATAAATCTCCAACGTTTGCATTTTTTACATTAACTACAGTATGATATGATAAAGAACACTGCCAATAACTGATGAAGATTAGTCCTGTTAATAAGGATCTATTCATGAAGTCATGGGTCTAAATTCTTCTCTTGATGTGAAACTTTGTTGATAAGTAATATGTAAATATTCATGTAAGTGCTCTTTACATTTGGTCTCTTATGAGTTTTGAAACTTAACTCACTTAAATTTTCTTAGATAAGAAAAAAGATGCCTTAATTTTAAATTTCAAAGTACAGTTAGTAAAAATTACTGTTTAGAATTTTCAGTTTGCACTTAGTACGAAGCAACAAGATAACAATTGAGGATGTTTCGATTTACGGAGACTTCAATATCCCAAACAATGATGGGATTGACATTGAGGATTCAAACAACACAGTGATCAATAGATGTCACATTGACACTGGGGACGATGCTGTTTGCCCAAAGTCATCCGCAGGTTCTGTCTTCAACCTCACTGCCACTAACTGTTGGATTCGAACAAAATCCTGCGCCATCAAGCTTGGCAGTGCCAGCGTGTTCGATTTCAAACACTTTGTCTTCGATAATATCACCATTGTCGATTCTCATAGAGGCTTGGGGTTTCAGATCCGTGATGGAGGTAACTTCTCCGTTTGTTTCTTTTCTTTTTATTTTACTTTTAACCATGTCCTTCTCCATGAAAAAAGGAAGACTTACACACTCATGCACGCACGCAAATATGTCAACTCTAGATTTGAACCCGCGATCTTTTCTAAGCAAGGGAGATGGCACTGAGACAGCTAGCTGTTTATATAATGTTCTCTATTTGTTCCGTGCACTTATTTTGAGGCTATCCTGATAAGTTAGATTGGTACTATGTTTTGAAATTTGAACATTGTTTTGCAGGGAATGTAAGTGACATTGTATTCTCAAACATAAAAATCAGCACAAGATACTACGACCCATTATGGTGGGGAAGAGCTGAACCAATATATGTCACAACTTGCCCGCGAGACTCAACCTCAAAGGAGGGTTCAATCTCAAACATACTTTTCACTAACATCACAGTAAATTCAGAAAATGGTGTCTTCCTCTCTGGTTCAAAAAGAGGGCTTTTAAGAAACTTGAGATTCATCAACTTGAATCTCACTTACAGAAGGATTACCAAGTTTCCTGGTGACTTGTATGACTACAGGCCTGGATGCCATGAATTGGTTAAGCACAAAACTGCTGGCATAATGATGGAGAACATTGAAGGTCTTGAGGTTAAAAATGTGAAAATGAGATGGTCACAAGCTCATTTGGAGGACTGGAATAATCCTCTGGAGTTCAGGCCTTCTACTGTGAATAACATCTCCTTTCTTGGTTTCGATTCTAGTTTGGCATACGAGTAGCATATGAAGCTAGTTTTCTTCAATAACAAGATGGATGTAATGAGAAATCACAAATCAAAAAGGCCTAGGGGTATTATTGATTGAAATGATTAAGGGAAAATGGGTAGAAGAGATGAAAAGGGAAATCTCTTGGTGTTCAAATGATGATCCCAACCTCTTGGTGTGTGGTCTCATTTGAGATTGTGTGATTTAAAGACACTTCATTGTTATTTGTTTAACCATATAATTGTGATTTTTCAAATGGACAAGATTTTATACAGAGTTCACTTGGAGTTTCTTATCCAATTCAGATCCTTTGCATTAAGAAATAAATATATGACATACAAAAGAGGGATGCATTAAGGAGCATGAAGCAAAGGTCCAGCAGGGTTCTTCACAAAAATCTTGCATGCTGTTTCCTTTCTGTAACATCTAACTTGTTTGTGAGTGGTTAATGTTTGTAAAAATAAACAAGTTATTAGTCGAATAAAAGTAATGATCCATAATTCATTGATCATAATCAAATTGATGAATTTTATATATAATAAAATTTATGACTCGCAGAAAGACTGCCTTCTTGGTTAATCAATCCTTACTATGATATCTTCTTCACCAGTAGATTCAGCAATTGTATCATCCGTGTAACTTCTTTGCTCTCTGTTTTGTACAGAGGGATTTGCAACATTCCCTTCACACTGGTTCACTTCAAGGTCCTTCCTATAAGGGGTTCCTGTGAGATTGCTTGAGAAACTTCTTGGCTGACAGATGTCAACCTGAAAATTCACATGGGAAATTAAAGAAAATAAGCTTGAGACAGAGACCACGAATTTCTGAAACTTTTAACGCTAAAATACTTCTAATTGCTCATTGATTTTCATGATAATCTTGGAAAGTATGGTGTAGATTTTACAGTCTGAGAAGCTAAAGATCATTGTGACTTGTGTGCTGTGAGTGATCTCCATTCAACAGAAAATTTGAACATATTAGAAACACTTGTTTATTTCACTTAAGCTTGTTTAAGATCAAGTATCAGACCAAATCTAAATATTTTTGCAAGGAGAATCAAATAAACCTAATAACTAAATTTTCTATGAACGAATGTGATATAAAAAGGTTCAATTTAAAAAGAAACGGACAAGAAAAAAACAAGTGATATGCAAAGACAAGATAGGATATCCATTAAAACCCTACTAATTAAATGCTAAACTGCATTGCCCTTGAGAATATTATGCACAAAAAGTTTCCCATCCATGAAGCTAATATCAATCTCATGTTCATGTACCAACATACCGTGCAGCCATAAATGCTCAACTGCATTGCCCTTGCAGACAGACTACTGGCTTGTTGTCCAACACCTTGGCAATATTGCTTATGTTGCTTTGGCTTGATGAAATTTTCAAGTAAACTCGATAGACCACTATGTTCTTTGCTTAAACATCTATGGGGATAATCAACTGTGCGCGTTAACAGTGAACTTGACCTTCTAGAAAGAGCAGCATCAGCCTCAAATGCTCCAATGTCAAACACGATTACCCTTGCTCTATTTTCAACTAGATAAGATGAAGCTTGATGAGAAAAACTAGCATTTTCTATACCTGTTATTATTGAAAGGCCAAAAAAAAAGAAGAAAGAAATCCAAGTCACATAAGTTAGTAATAAAACTTGCAGTTTCCCAAAAGGGAACTTGATGGAACCCTCTATTCTAATAAGCTTTAAAAGCATAAACCAGAAACTACACCACAAATGGGACTGAAAATTACTAATACCGAATAGCAAAGTTGGATTACAGCAAAAAAAGGAACTGAAAATTACAACGTACTGAAACAGAAACAGCACAGAATACACTCCACAAACAACAATCACAAAATATAAGTCACTCACTTACATACACACACTACGCAGAAGATAAAATGATGAAGAAAGATGACTTCCTCCACCCCCAACCTGGCATTCGAGAGGCCAGAGCTCTCCTTACCACTTTCAATATTCAAAATAATCTCCCCCTCTCTCTAGGCAAAGAGGAAGATTTAAAGACCTAAAAAGTGACTCTAGCACAGCCCTTACCCCTAGAAGACCCTTAACCATCACTAGGACTCTAGCACATCACTAGGCCATCAATTACTTTCTTTTTTCCCTCATAACCAGGATCCGAAGGGCAACATCTGAACCAACAATAATGTTATCTTTTAACCTCTTGCCTTCCTTGATTTTCTCTTATAGGTCTTAGTAAAATCACGAGCTCTATCATTACCCTCCCCTTGAAGTTTCACCTTGTCCTCAAGGTGAGAAGCATAATCAGCAGTTGGTATGAACATCTGTTGGTATGAAAACAAGTTTGCCCACACCAGAAAATCTTCCAACTGAACTGCTTCAATAATCTTGACATCCTTCTTCAATCCCTTGTAATAATCTTCAACTTTCATGCCAGAGAACCGAGCATCATAACGCATATTGGATGAAAAATAGATTTAAACTGTTTTCCAGCAACAACAGAACCAGGAGACAGAATACTTGGGTTAGTAGACATTTCACCTCTATTTTTTCATTTACTTTCTCTTGCTCCTGAGAAAAGTCTGAGCTTCTTGTCATGCTTAGTATAAGCCGTTCTGATTTTCTTAGCAGAACAAAAACCAAAACTTTTTTCCCCTATTTCAGTGAAGTCTAGTACTGTGGTCTCTCGGGAATTTTCATCTCCTCTCATTGAGAATGAAGAAGTGTTGCTGGGGAACTCAGCCCCATCTCTTGTGGGTTTTTATATTGTAGACGAGAAAATTACTGATCAACACCTCCCCCTTGATCTTGAGTTTGGTTTGTTTTGCTTCCCCAAATCCATCCTCCACACCTGCAGCCTGAACCTGCACATTTATCAACATGCCCAAAATCTTCAGTTCCAGTTTCACATTTTTCTCGGTACTGGTCTGAAGCTGCATTTTGCTCTGTATCTCCACTGAATTGTTGCTGTGTGCAGAAATGTATCTGTGAGTGTTGACCGTTGATCTAAAAAATTTAAACACAGCATCCAATGAGCGAAGACAAAATTTTCCAAACAACAAAGTGACATCCCCAAACATTTTGATGTCACACGTGATCAATTCTGGGATGATAACTGAAGCCCTCAGATGATATTGAGGAGATAAAGTACAACCCCACATACATCGTCGTCCAATGGGTGACTGGATTTCTGCTTTAAGAGAAGAGATGCAAGCAAAAATTCGACTGATTTTTCAAATGATATACTCAAAGAACCAATAGCTATAGACTCTGAGTTGCAACACATGAACCTCTTAACGGAGAAGAATGTTAAGGTGACAAGAATTCCAAAGTTGTTTTCAAACCATCCCAGTAATAGGTAACAAAATTCTGGCAATAATTGCTGACAAGAATATTATGAAGAATGGTGTAGCTGGAACCCACTGGACAACTGAAGTAGGATGACAGCCTCAAATTGTATACTGTAGTCATACCTGACATTGGTATCATCCCTTATGCCCAACTTTGCGCCAGCCTTTTGGGTCAGACGAGCAGCATATTCATTCTTCTTGATAGTTATGTGAATTTGTGAAGCTGCCACATACAGTATGTTAACTTCTGTAATAGTTGGAGCCAGGAACAGTAGCCTTTGGTGCCAGCCAACACAAAGAGCATCTGGAATGGTGTCGCTTCCCACTGTTTTTGCATGTTTGTGGGAGAATTTTTGCTCTTCTTTGGCCTGTTGAGCATTTAGAATGTGAGCCACAGCAAGCGTCTGGCGCAAAAATATAGTATAAAGTGAAAACCCCTTCTCTGATGCAGAACGCAGCGTTGCAACCCTAGCTTCTCGAAGGATTAGGTTTCTTTTCTCCCCTTTAAGGCCCAAGCCATTAGTTGCTTCTTAAATGAGGAATTGAATGTTGTATGCGGCTGGTTCATTCTCCTTTCATAAATTAAAAAGCTTTTAGGCCCAAAAGAATTACCATCATTTAGTATTGGGCTTCTACAATAAGTAATTAACCTAACCCTACCCAGCCTCCACTTTCTCTTCTTTTTGCCGTCAGCCTCTTCTGCCTTCAACCTGTCTCTTCGTTGCTCATATTCTCTGCAGCGTTTTGCAGTCTTCTCAACATTATAATTTTGCTTCTTCTCCTTAGTCGCTTCTGCCCCATTAACATTTATATGCTGGACTTTGATTTTGGGACTGCTTGGTGCTAATTTGACAGCTTGCAAGGATTGAGAAGGTTTGGGTTTCATCTCTTTTGGGTTGATACCAGAATCTGCTTCAAACTTTTCTTCTCCTAAAAACGGTGACACTTTTAACTGTTGTTCAAAAGGCTCTTTCTCTCCCCCTTCTTCAACCTCGGTATCTTTTTTATAACTCCCTCTGTTTCTTGCTCAACTGGTTTCTTCTCTTCTTTCTCACTTACAGCATCTTCATTTTCCATGTTCACCTCTGATTTCTTCTCCATTTCAGCACGCATCTCCATTCTGTCTAAAATCTTTTGCACTTCTCTAATTTCTTCTGCATTTCCTCTTTTTTTTCCCCACATTCTTCAACAATTCTGACATCATAGCTGCTGTAACTACGAGTTCTTCTAGTAAGTTTGCCATGCCTTTTTTCCACCCTCTTTCTCTCTCCTCGGATCAACCGCTCTGATACCAAATGATGGAACCCTCTATTCTAATAAGCTTTAAACAAGCATAAACCAGAAACTACACCACAAATGGGACTGAAAATTTACTAATACCGAATAGCAAGTTGGATTACAGCGAAAAAGGAACTGAAAATTACAACGTACTGAAACAGAAACAGCACAGAATACACTCCACCAAACAACAATCACAAAATATAAGTCACTCACTTACACACACACTACGCAGAAGATAAAATGATGAGAAAGATGACTTCCTCCACCCCCAACCTGCATTCGAGAGGCCAGAGCTCTCCTTACCACTTTCAATATTCAAAATAATCTCCCCCTCTCTCTAGGCAAAGAGGAAGATTTAAAGACCTAAAAAGTGACTCTAGCACAGCCTTACCCATAGAAGACCCTTAACCATCACTCGGACTCTAGCACATCACTAGGCATCAATTACTTTCTTTTTCCCTCATAACCAGGATCCGAAGGGCAAACATCTGAACAACAATAATGTTTTCTTTTAAACCTCTTGCCTTCCTTGATTTTCTCTTAAGGTCTTAGTAAAATCATGAGCTCTATCAGAACTCAAACTAGAAAAGAAATATCTTAGGGACAGCTAGCAAGGATTAATGTATCAATGTGTAGATTTTCCAAGAAAGGAACTCCAACCAAAATTTATTTTGACATAGATACAAGTACATGATATAAGGGACATATTAGGTTTTCTGCTTGCTGGTTTCTAGTTAAAATAGAGAAACAAATATGCAATAAGCACAGATGAAATGATTTATTGATTGATTAAAAAAAAACGAGTAAAATACAATGACCTCCCTTCCTTTTGCTTAAATTACAGAGATTTCTCCTCTATTTTCAACACACTTTAATCCAACAATTAACTGTAACATCCTCAAGTTTAAACTTGGAATCAAAGTGTAAATAGGGTAAATGGGTAAAATTAAAAGAAAAATCTAGTTAATGGCGTTTCATGATATTAATGAGCTTCTTGAATCTTTTGGGTAGCTTCAGAAGGGGTTAGATTGGTGTACGAGCGGATCGGGCATCATGTGAGGCCCAAAACTCATTATGAGCTTCACTGTGCCATCTGCTGTAGCAAATGCACATTGTGCTGTGGCAGATGTGCAAAAATAGATTTAATCAAATTGCACGCACACGAGAAAATTAGAGGAAGAAGAAGAGAGAACGCAAAGGGCGAAGGAGGAGGAGCTGAGGTTTGCTAGGGCTTCACTTTGTGGGCATTTTAAATACAATTTGAGCTAGCCACACACTTGGGTAAGCCTCTTATCTACTCTCCTTCCTCTCTATGTGCATTTTCAGCAAGATTGGAAAGTGTTGGGTGTTGATTTCATTTTTTTTTGGGTTGTAATCGAACCCATTGGCTAGATGGAGCCTTGAGAAGTTAAATAAGTTCTAAACTTTGGTTTAAGGATTTTATAGTGATATGGGGTTTTTAATTAGGGTTTGGACGATCCTAAAAGAAAGTATGAAGATTGGGAGTATGCGGGTGGAAGTTTGATATTATCTAAGTGCATGAATGGTAAATAAGATTAGGAAATGTGTTGTAAATTTGATGTGATTGGGAGGAAATTTGGGTAGGACGGGTACCTAAATTTAGCCTAAAATGTGGTTAATTAGGGTTAAAATTGATTATTAGTGTTTAATCTTGTAGATTAAATATGATCGAGTTTTGTTAAGCCGGTGGACTCTTTGTGGAGTAGCTAATTTGCCACAGTAACCCTTTTTGTCATAAAAGGGTTGAGGTAACCGGACAATCTAATTCTTTTATTTGTGTGTTCGGATGATGTGGGATTGTGAAATTATATTTTATATATATATATATGCTATTGTTTTTAATCAATAACTAGTCTGTTAAATGTTTTGGTGATTTCGAAAATCATGTGAAGTGGAGTTTGAATATATATATATATATATTATAGGTTTTTGGATTAGAATAATTGAGTATT